GGCAGGGAAGAAAGTTCAAGGCGGGGGAAGGGAGTGCTTACAGGGAACATGGATGGGAAGCTGCATGGCTTATGTAGCCTTCACAAAGAACGTGGAGCAAAGGGGATGGAGGAGGAGGCTGGGAGTCTGAGATTGCAAAGGTGGTTTACAGCCAAGTCCTCAGATCCTGAAAGGCAGTGGGAGACTGTCAGGAGCAGGCAGTGCACAGTAGTGCAGCTTACTGCCTGTATTATTCTCTCAGGGTCAAGCCACTCATGCCCCTGCCAGTGTACCTGCTGGGGGCACATGGTCATGCCACTCTCCAGCAGCTGCCTCTGCCAGTGTGCTGTGCATTCTTAACCCAGGGTTGCACCCCTCATGGGACAGTATTGTTTTGAAGTCCTCAGTTGAGGATGGTTCTACTGAACCCTCCCTGCAGCATGGTGTGGGCTGAGGCCTTGGCAGTACCTTCACCACAGTCCAGTGTCCCTCCACCGCAGCTTGAGGCCCTCACTGCCTCACAGATGCCATCCTCAGAGTATACTCCAGTAAGTTCCTGCCCATATCTCAGCCCCACAGGAGTCATCCCGAAGACAGATGCATGTAAAGCCAAGAGCCATCTTTGACCCATCCATAAAAGTAGCCAGAGTACTGTGAGTTGAAAAAGCCTCATAAATCAAGTTTGATGAACAGTGATGTTGGGATATGGGCAGAAAAGGCTTGTGGGGCACATATCTGGTGCCCCTGCAGGGCAGTGTGTATCTCTGATGCCAAGCCAAAGCTGGAGGGAGCAGGTGTAGGAAGATAAAGCAGACCAAGGAAGCAGAGGCCCATGGGAACAAGGAAGAGTGATCTAACCACAGTTCACTGCCAAATTCTCAGCCTCTCTATCTGTGGGCTTAACCTCCTATGGATGAAAGATGATACCCATCCCCCAAATTAAAGAAGGTTCCACAAAGTCACGCATCAATTGCCCATGCACTAGATACTGACTAAAGTCATGGGTAGGCATAGCGTAAGGTCTAAGTAGCCTAGAGATGACCAAAGTGTGCAGGAGGATGCATGTGGTGCATAGGTAAATGCCACACCATTCCATCTAAGGGACTCAAACCACTGGATTTTAGTATCCACAGGGGAATCCCAGACCCACTGTCTTCCAGATGGCTGGACTATTTGGGTGTGGACGTTTGCCCCAGCGGTTGACTCCTGTGCCTTGTATTTGAGTGCCTGGCTTGACTCCCCAAGCCCAGATGAGTTCAGTGGTTAGGTCCCCATCACTCACATGGGTGATCTGGATAGAGAACTTGGCCCCCAACTTTTGGCTGACCTAGTTCCTGGACAGTAAGCCAGCGCATAGAAGATTGATCTCTTTGCAATAAAAATAAATTTTAATAATAAAAATAAACTTTGCAATAAAAATAAATCTTAAAAAATGTTGTCCAATCAATTGTAATCCTGTGCTTGCTGACCTTTTAGGGTCACAATGTCCTTCTACAATGGTACAGTAGGCTAAGTCTCTGCTTGAGGTGCTTGCATCCCATATGAGGACCAGTTTAAGTTCTGGCTGTTCCACACTTTTTATTTTAAATATTTATTTATTTTTTTTGTAAAGTCAGTTATACAGAGAGGAGGAGAACCTTGGGCTCCAAGTAGGGGATCCAGAAGAAGCTCCTGGCTCCTGATTGACTCTGGCCATTGTGTCCATTTGGGGAGTTGACCATTTGATGGAAAACCTCTCTCTTTAACTCTGCCTTTCAAATAAAAATAAAATAAATCTTAGGAAAAAAAGAACAATAGCTGGAAGTCAAAAAGAGGACACTGGTTTTTTTTTTAAGATTGATTGATTTATCTTTTAATTACAAAGTCAGATTTGCAGAGAGAAGGACAGACAGAGAGGAAGATCTTCTATTCGCTGGTTCACTTGCCAAGTGGCTGCAGCGGCCAGAGCTGCGCTGAACCAAAGCTGGGAGCCTGGAGCTTCTTCAAGTCTCCTATGAGGGTGCAGGGTCCCAAAGGTTTGGGCCATCCTTGACTGCTTTCCCTGGCCACAAGTAGGGAGCTGGATGGGAAGTGGGGCCGCTGGAACACAAACCAGCACCCATATGGGATCCTGGAAAGTGCAAGGTGAGGACTTTGGCTGCTAAGCTATTGTGCTGGGATGTACACTGGTTCTTTTATGTCTTGGGTCAGGATGAAGTTCTGTGGTTGCAAGGGTGGCTGGGAGATGGTGCCTTTATTTTAGGTGGCCGCGGCTCCAGCTAGAAATGAAAGAGTTTCCTTTTACAATGTTGTGCAATGTTTATTTGAGAGGCAGATGAAGACAGAGATCCCATCCACTAGTTCATTCCCCAAACACCTGAAAGGCCAGGGAGTGGGCCAAAGCCAGGTGAGGACTAGGAGCACAGCCCAGGGCTCCCTTGTGGTACACGGACCCCCTTCTTGAACCATTATCACTGGGGGCAGGCTGGAGTCAGGAGCCAGAGACGAGCATCAAAATCAGGCACTGTGATAGAGGCCATGGGAATCTCAATCCACATTGTTGTGATGCCAGGCCAGCTGCTTATTTGGGAAAGGCAGGTCCGATGAGGATACTGAGACACAGCAGCAGACCCGGCCCCCAAGTGCAGGCTCAGCAGGTGCCAGTGCTGAGGAGCCCAGCACTGGGGATGTGACTGGACTATGAGCTTCCTGGGGAGCCCTGGGAGGTGGACTCTGAGACTGGGAATTGGGAGATGGGTGACGGAGGAGGGGTCCTAGGGGAGCGAGGTTCAGGTGGCTTCCAGTGACACCTGAGATCTCCAGAGTCGGCCAGGAGAGACCGAGGCCAGAGGTTGTAGGGTTGGGGTGTCAGAGCTGAGGAGGCCCCTGAGGAGGTCACGCTAAGGAGCCCAACCAGAGTTCTGGGGTCCAAGGTGTGGCCTTTCCAGTGGACACCCCTGTGGCCTGGCCACAGCAGCAGGAAGTGGCAGTCTTCTACACCATAGGGGGTTATTAAATGGCTTGGGCAGGTGAGAGCCTCATGCACTTCCTAGGGCCCAGAAATGGGGGTGACTGATAAGGTCAACAGCCACCGCTGTGGGGGGTCCCAGGTGAGGGGACGAAGGGCAGGGAGCTGGGGCTGGGAAACACTGTGGCATTCCCCAGTTCCTACAATGACAGTGGGCAGTGGTTAACAAGGCCAGGGTTCTGCGCCCAGCCAGACAGCTGATGCGCAGGGCCCCTGGGCTTCCTGCAAGTTTCCCAGGCAGCTCTGCGAAGGTTTTCTTTGCTGCACCAACCAGGGGCGGGGGAGAGGCAAGAAGGAGGCTCTGTCCTGATGCATCTCCCTCTCGCTGACCCAGCACCCGGAGGTGTCTGCTCGCACAGGTACTGCTCTGAATGTGGCATGGCTGCCAAGCCACCCTCTGGTCACAGAGGCCACTTGGTGAGGCATCCAGCTTAGACCAGTTCCTGCCCCAGCTCCACTCAATGGCTTCAGGTGACACATCGCCCCCACTTCCCAGTGGTGGTGGGAACTTACCCATCAGGGTGCCCAGGGTAGGGATGGGGGAGCTGCAGTTCCGCAGGGACAGGCTGTGGAAGCCTCAGAGGTCTCCCCCACCCCATCCGTGGGCTATTCCTCAGAGGGGACTGCAGACTGTGGGAGGCAGGAGGGAGACCCAAGGGAGACAGGATTCCACTCTCACCTGCTGGGCGACCTTAGGCATTGTTATCAGAAAAGCCCGGTGGGTTCTTTCCTCAGCTTATTATACAAAAAAAAGCCAGGAATCTGTTGCAGACAGAAAAGTTTTCGCAAGGACCAGGTGAGCAGGGAAGGGACAGGGAAGGGGAAGCACCTCCGGAGAGAAAGCCGGGAGGTGGGGTGTCTATCAAAAAGGGGGAGAGAGAGAGAGACACCAAAGGTTTGAGGAAGGGTCTTGGGATTTTAAGCATTCCCTGACCCCTCCTTGTTGGGCTGGAACCTACAGGTAAGATGTTCCTCATTGGTGGTCTCAACCAGTTAGGACATGGATGGGTAATGGTGGTGCCGTCCACCTGAAGGAGTGGCCAAGACCTCAGCAGGCCTGGATGGTCTCAGGCAAGTGCCTTTCTCTTCCCCAAGGCCTCAGTTTCCCCATTAGCACGACGGCTACCTTACCTCTCAGGGCCTGCCCTTGTGGCCTGAGCCCCTCCGCCCACCCCTTCCATGGGGGCTGGCAGGTGCTTGATATGGTCATGTCAGCCCCGCAGCCTGTGGTTTCCTTACTTAAGCTGGCATGAGGGGAGGGTTGGGTGCTGGATGGGCACGGTGGCTTCCGCATCCCCAGCTTGGCTGGGTTCTCCAGTACTGCCTCCGCTTCCCCTTCTGCCAGGGCTCCCCCAGGGCCTTGCTTCCATTCCAGCACCCCAGACAAGCCATGTCTGCCTGAGCTGCGGGTGGTGTGGGTCCTGTCCTGGGATCTAGACTCTCAGGAAACTGATGGTGCCCACAGCGCTGCAGACAAGCTAACACTTGGGAACACTGAAGGGAAAGGAGTTTCCAAAATGGAGCCGGGAGGCCCACAGAGGAAAAGCGCCTCGGCCACATTGAGGCCTGGGAACCCTGGGCCCTGCTTATCTCTGGGCCGCAGGCGCCAGTGCCCAGGGTGCCCGTTCCAGCCTGGGTGTTCCCTCCGCCGCTTCCTCTGGCCACCCGGCCTCCAAGTACAGCAGGTGCTTCTCCAGGGTTCTGTGGGTTTCTCCTTGCCGCACTCCCCCTCCCGGGCCCCCAGGCTGTGGCTTCCCTGGCCCCGCGTCACGCCCCCGTGTATTTGTGCGGTTTCTGACTTTGAGTGCGGGCGAGGTGAAGTGGAGAGTTCGAATCTCCCTGTAACCGCCTGGACCAGCTGTAGGTGCCTGAGATGGGACTAACCCTAGAGGAAACGGAAGGGGCTGAAGCCGCCCGGCCTCTCCCCGCCCCCCTGGGCGCCGCGCTGAGTCAGGCCGGGGCGGGGCTGCGCCTGCGCAGTGCGCGCCCGGAGGCGGGGCGCGCTGCAGAGCGCAGGTTTATATCCTCGGGCATCAGCTGACGCTCCGCATTGCAGACTGCGGGGTCGAGTGTTGCCATGTACGCTCTCGTCTTCCTGGCCGGCCTCCTGGGCACGGGTGAGCCTGGGGACCCCCGGTCTTGGGAGAAAGAGGTTCCCTTGCCCACGCCGCCCCTCTCCCAGCGCCCTGTTGGACCGGGCCTTACCGGGCAGCTCCCCGTAGCCGGGGGTGGCGAGGAGGCGCGCACGGCGCAGGCGCCTGGGCAAGGCCGGTACCTGCGTGTGTGAGGAGGGCGGCGGGCGGGGAGAGCGGACAGCCTTGGCGTCCGCCGGAGTCCTGGGTGGGAGCGTGAGTGGGCGGCTCCGGGGCGCGGGTGGACGTTGCGGGGGCCTTCCCTCGGGTCCTCCTGCTGTGGGGTGACCCCGCCCGCAGCTGTTGTTGCTCCAGAGCTGAGCGAGGCGCGGGCGCCCCTTCCCGGGGAGGACGGGAAGCTGTCGCCTGACTGGCATCGGTGTTGAAGCGGGCGGAAGGGCGCGCCGGTCGTCCGTGGGGATGTTTATGCTAGCGTGTTCTGGATCCTACCTCGGGAAAGTGCTTTTGCTTTTAGCAGCCGCTGAAGGAACTATGGGTCGCACCCAGCCTTAAAGCTCCTGTGGTCTGTGGAGTAAACTGCCGGCTGGGGGCTTGCGGCGGCGGGGTGGGGGGTTGGCTTCATTGTTTTGCTTTGAAAGGTTTTGCCCCGCCCTTGGCCTTGGAGCGACGCCCGAAGCGCACCTGTTTACTTATCCTGATGGGGTAGTGGAGGATGTTGAAGATCACTGCAAGTTAGGACAACACCTGGGGACCTGCCGGCAGCTCCCCCCCTGCTGTGTTTACTGCCTGGCTTTTTGTTTTGTTTTTCCTTCACTTTTTTTTTTTTTAAAGTTATTTATTTATTGGAAAGTCAGATATACAGAGAGGAGGAGAGACAGAGAGGAAGATCTTCGTCCGATGATTCACTCCCCAACTCAGCACAATGGCCGATGCTATGCAGATCCAAAGCCAGGATCCAGGAACTTCCAGGTCTCCCACACGGGTGCAGGGTCAAAGCTTTGGGCCGTACTCGCCTGCTTTCCCAGGCCACAAGTAGGGAGCTGGATGGGAAGTGGAGCTGCCGGCATTAGAACTGGCGCCCATATGGGATCCCAGGCGTGCAAGGCCGCTAGGCCACGCCGCCAGGAGAAAGGCCCGAGGCGGAGTCGTTGCCTTAAGGCCGAAGCTGTGTGGTGGCCCGTCCCCAACCTCAATTTCTGATTTTTTGCAATTGTATGTAGTTTAGGGAGTAACTTCCACTTCACTCAACTCCAATTATTGATGTATTTGAAGGGCAGAGGTGGGAGACCTTCCATCCCAGAGCTCACTCCAACAGCTGGCTAAGTTGAGGTTGTCTAAGCTGGAAGCCTGGGACTCAAGGTTTGCCTTGAGCCTGCCTGGGGCCAACCATGTGAGCCCTCAGCTACCTGCGAGGTGTGCATTGGCAGGAAGCTGGAATTGGAGATAGAGAAGCCAGGAATTGAACCCAGGTACTCTGATATGGGGATGCAGGTGTCTCAAGTGGATTTTGTTTAAAAGATACTTTACTTTGAAAGGCAGTTACAGAGAGGAAGAAGCAAGGAGGGGGAGCTCTTCCCAAATGGCCACAGTGGCCAGAGCTGAACTGATCCGAAGCCAGGAGCTTCCTCTGAGTCCTGCATGAGTACAGTGGCCCAAGGATTTGGGCTATCCTTGGCTGCTTTCCCAGGTGCATTAGCAGGGAGCTGGACCTCGAGTGGAACAGCTGGGACTCGACTCAGTGCCCATATAGGATGCCAGCCCTGCAGACAGCAGCTCCACAAGTCCCTCAAGTGGCAACTCAGCTGCTGTGCCAAATGCCCACGAATTTAATGAACAGTACTAAAGGGGCTACCCAGCTAACAGCAGAAGAAATGAGGCATTGTTACGGGTGCACTGGATCTAGGGTGTTTTGTTAATGTTGGGCAGCCTTCTTAACTTTTACGTCAAGCTCTTAGATTTGCAGTTTGTCAGCTAGGAAAGGTGATCTGGCTGATGGAATGAGGGTTTTGGTTTCTAGTCACTGGAGGAGCTGTGTTTCTCCAACGCTCAGCTGCAGCCTTGCCACTGTCCGAGCGAATCAGTGCTCTTCGCTGCAGTGTCTGTCCGGGACAGCAAGCGGCAGCAGTTGTCATTGGCTTGAGTCACCTTGCATGAGTCCCCTAGAAGCCTGATGCACCCAAACTCTCCCTTGTTTCTCTGGGAGTGTGAGATCCGCCTCTGGCATATATGGGAGTGCCTTTTACTAGAATGTTCCATCGAGGAACCTTCTTCCTGGAATATCTGAGGTCGGTCTTGATGGTGGCCTTGGTCTAACCTTGCTGTTCAGCCTTGGGAGTGGCTGCCAAGGTCGTGCTGAAAGCTGAGTGCCAGCTTGCCTTCACAGCACTGGCCTGTCTGTGGCTTTTTTGGAAGTGTTACTCCTAACATTTCTAAGATTGAGTCCCGAGGGAAGCAACCTGTTGAGCCAGCAGAGGGGAGTGAGCGGTAGGAGACTGAGGGTGCATGCTGCCCGAAAGCAGCAGTTGTTGTTTTGTTTTGTTTTTTGTAAAAAGTGAACTGCAGTTTCAGAAACATACATGTCATTGCAGAAGTCTTCTGTGTGGTCTGTTTTCTGCGGTAGGTGATTTGCATCTCTGGACACTGCTGAGGAGTTGGTATCCCCCTTCATCTAAAGGGACGCCACCAAAAGCCAGTCCCTGCCCCCTTCTGGGCCCTGGTGACTGCAGCCATTGTCTGCTCCCTGGGAGGCCCTCAGAACTTGGCCTGTGTGGATGGACTGGTGCCTGCACGCTGCTGAGTTACTTGCTCCAGCTGTCCTCTTTTTTTTTCCCCCCAACCTGAGAAGGTGAGAAGGAATGAACAGGGATCCCTGATCCACCCTCAAAGGATGAGGTTACAGAGTCACCAGATGTGACTTTGGCAAATCCTAGGCCATTTGCTGGGGATGCCAGGCCCAGAATTTGTTTCTTGTCCTCTGTATTTGCCTTCAAAAAATGTGTGCATCTACGTGTTATAAAAACTTAGTGGCATAGTTGGTGTACATGAGCATAGGTAAGATAGGTCACTGAAGGATGTTACCTGGAGTGAGCGGCAAAGGCAAGGTGCTGGCTGATTGTGCAGGAGGCCCATGAAGGTGAACGCCTAGGCAGGGCTCCCGGAAGCTGGGCGCCCTCCTGCTGCCGCCCCTGGTACCAGGCAGAGCACTGTTGTTGGCTCGCTGCATCAGGGCAGGTGTTCCCTCTCGGGAACGTGTGTGCATTGGGTCACTGCTTTAACTTCCTTTGTACCCTCCCCTGCTGAATATCTGCCAGGACTCCCAAGTCTCCCTGCCAGGAGCTGTGCTCAGCCTTGTTTTTCATCCCTAGTAAATCCATCTGTATTCCCAGAAGGTGCTACTGATGCTTGGAATTCCTGCTGTGAGAGTTGGAGTGTTTTATTGGTGTGGCAGTTTGTAGATCACAAGAAGAGCTTGGTCTTCTTTTGTCCTGTGTAACTGGACTGTCCCAGTAGCTGGCTGGAGCTCAGATGGACGAGGCAGGGAGGCGGTTGGTGGCAGGGGCAGTGCCTCTGGGCCTGCTTGGGAAGCTCTCCAGGCTGTGGGCACAGGTACGCACTGGGCAGCCTCCTGAGGCCAGACTGGCTTCTAGCCTGGATTCTGGTGCACAGCCTGCCAGGCCCCGAAGCTTGCACTCTGGCCCAGCTTAGGTGTTCCCTGCGGGAGGCAGGGATGTTATCCTGCTTGCTGCTGTAGAACTGTAATAGATTGGGATGAAGAATTTAGCTGTTGGAACTTACCCTTTTTTTTTAACCCATGAAGTTCCTTTTTAAAAATTTTAACTCTTAAAGATTTGTGCATGTCTTTTGAAAAGCAGGGTGACTGGGAGGGAGAAAGATAACTTGTCTCTGCTAGGTCACTCCCCAAATGGCCACTGTCAGTGGGGCTGAGCCAGGCCAAAGCCAGGAGCAGAAACTCCGTACGGTGTCTCCTTTGAGGGTACAGGGGCCTGCGTGCTTGGGACATCACTGATGCTTTTCTAAGTGCACCAGCAGGGACTCTTAGGGAATTCTGGTTGTCATAGATCAGTCCACTATGCCACAATACCTGACCCCAAACCCATCAAGTCCTAAGAAATTATTTTTTATTTTTTAAATTTTCTGGCTTAGCGGCTGAGAGTACATGTCTGTGTGCTATGCTAGGCTGCATCGGAGATACCGTCTGCATGTCAGATGCCTGGGGCAGAGTGGGCAGCTGGTTCTGGGGCTGGCAAGGTGGGACTCCGGCGTCCTGGTGATCCGTGGGCAGTGACGGCCCAGAGTCTCCGTGGCGGGCAGGCAGCAGTGCGGCGCCATTCCTGCGTCTCTCCTCCTGTCCCCGTGGCCGTTTCCTTGGACCTCCGCCGTGTTTTCATTTGCGCTTCAGCCTGCACATCGGCCTCTTCCTTCACTTGGCTTGCATGGCATGGAGGTAGCCACGAAGATGACGTTAAAGCCAAGACCTGTGAAATGATCTTTAAGAATTTGTAATTCTTGGGGCCCTGGCATATTAGTAGGCTAAGCCTCTGTTTGGGGTACCATATGATTTCCATATGCTGATTTATGTCCCAGCTGCTCCACTTTTCAATCCAGCTCCCTGCTGATGGCCTGGGAAAGCAGAAGAGCATGATCCAGGGCCTTGGGCCCCTGTACCCACACAGGAGACCGGAGGAAACTCCTGGCTTTGGATCAGCCCAACTCCAGCTTTCATAGCCAAATGGGGAGTGAACCAGCAGATGTAGGGTCTCTGTTTTCTTCTAACTTTGCCTTTTAAAAAAATGTTCATTTCTTTATATCAGGACTGGGAAGGTCCATGGAGTAGAAATATGTTCTCTTCAGGGTTGCCACAGGAGCTGTGTGACCTTGGGCATATGACTTTCTCATCTTGTTCCTATCTGATTGGGCTAATTAACATGTGAAAGGGCTTAGTTAAGTACTGTTTCGGTATTTAACAACCTGTGCCACCAGCATGGTCACCACCCCTCCTTGAT